GGGCACATTCTACTCTGACATATACGGGGTCACATGAACTGGAGTCCACTGGGTGGTAACTGCTAAACTGGTACCCTTTATCCTTTAACAAATACTGAAACCAGAAAGATGTTGAAACCATTCATAAAGTCGTCTTCAGTGCAGTGGTCTGCCAGTCTGTAAAGATGACCCTATAGTATGCTATCACTTTGCTAACATAGACGTGGTCAGTGTCTTCGTGTTGCTGTCAAGTGCTGTCCAGTAGGTTCCAACTCATAGTGACCTTGCATACGGTTTACAAGGAATGGTGTTAGGTTTGAACCACCACACTTATAGGTAGCAGTCCAGTGCTTATCCTACAGTACCACAACAATGTCACACCCAGATAGAGACTCCCCACAACCCGGATTAGTCTAGACTGGGACTGATGAGGGCTGACTTAGTAACAGGGACTTTGTTACTAGCGGGCTGGTACACAGTCATGGTGCCAACAGGGATGAAAGGAGCCTGGCATGAGCCCTTGCCTCCCTTCACATGATGTGGTTTTCAGGAAGTTTCTAACTTGGTTTCTGATGCCAGTCTGGCAGTACTTGGAACTCAAGCTGTGGCATAGGGAGAGGCTCATACAGATATTGGCCTGAATCCTGGTTTGGATGACTCATCTGAAGCTTCGTTCAGGTTTAACTAATATTCTGTGACAGGTGCTAAGCTAATATTTGCTGCCTAGACATTTCTCTAAGTGACAACTGGACAAGCAGGGTCAAGGTCTGGCTTAGCCATTGTGGGTCACCATATTCCTGATGTCACTGGCCTGGCAGAAGGGATGGTGTTGAGTGTGAGGCCCTACACTGAACTTCCCCTGTCAGGTACAGCAAGACCTGAGTAACCCAGTACTTTCTAGAACACTGTTGTTGTTGTTGTTAAGTGCCATCAAGTCGGTTCCAACCCATAGCAACCCTGTACAGGGTTTCCGAGGGTGTAAATCTTTACGGGAGTAGAAAGCCTCATCTTTCTCCCGCAGAACGGCTGGTAGTTTCGAACTGCTGACGTTAAGGTTCGCAGCCCGATTCGTAACCACTATGCTACCAGAACACTAGGACATTTAAAATGCATTGTCATTTCTGCCTGTGAGATCCCCAGTGCAATGGAACAAGAGGTCTACCACTGTTAATCTGAAATCTCCAAATCCAGAAAGATGTATAAGCCAGATGTTTGTATATAAACTGGCCACTAACTAAAGTAACAACAAAATCTGAACTGAGCATGGTATTATGATGTTTATTTATCCCAGAGAATGAGAGCAATCAGAGATTTGGGATCAGAAATATTAAGTTTGATTATGGGACATTTCCCTAGACCCCACTGAACAATACATGAAACTCTGTATGTGCAATGGTGTCCATGTTAATTATTGACCTGAGCCAAGCCATGGTGTTTTCAATAACCTCATATGGATGTGAAAGCTGGACAGTGAATAAGGGAGATCATAGAAGACTTGATGCCTTTGAGTTGTGGTGTTGGAGGAGAATACTGAAAGTGCCATGGACTGCCAAAAGAACCAATAGATCTGTTTTGGAAGAAGTGCAACCAGAGTGCTCCTTAGAAGTCAAGATGGCTAGGCTTCGTCTCTCATACTTTGGACATATTGTCCGGAGAGAACAGTCGCTGGAGAAGGATGTCATGCTGGGTAAGGTGGAGGGTCAGAGAAAAAGAGGAAGACCCCCAACGAGATGGATCAGCCAGGTGACATCATTGATGGCATCAAGTGTGGCAAGAGTAGTGAGGTTGGCCAAGGATCGGACATTGTTTCGTTCTGCTGTGCATGGGGTCGCTATGAGTCGGTTCCAACTCAATGGTACCTGACAACAACAACAACAACATCTTGACCTGCGCTTTGTTAATTATGAAAAGACACTCCACTATGTGGATCATGATAAAGTACGTGTAATGTTGAGAAGAATGGGAATTCCAGAAGACTTACTCTGATCACGCGGACCCTGTATATAGAACAAGGGGAGACTGCATGCTTCAAAATGTAGAAAAGTTTGTGTCAGGGTTGTATTGTTTTACCATACTTATCCAATTTGTATTCTGAACACATAATATGAGAAGTTGAACACTATGAAGAAAAAATTGACATCAGGATTAGAGAAAGACTCATTAACAACCTGCCATTGAGTCAGTTCCGACTCATAGCAACCCTGAATACGATTTCCAAGGAATGGCTGGTGAGTTTGAACTGCTGACCTTGCATTCCAGTGCTTTATCTTGTACCAAGTGCCACACCAGGACTCCGCTCATGAAGTAGCAGTCAAGACATCAATGGCTTATTGTGTTGGACAAATCTTTTAAAGTATTAAGAAAACAAAGAAGTCCCCTTAGGGACCAAAGTACACCTGGCACAAACCATGATATTTTCAATGATCTCACATGCATGTGAAAGTTAGAAAATGAGTAAGAAAAAAACACAGAAGAACTGATGTATTTAAATTATGATGTTGTTCAGAAATATTGAATATACCATGGACTGCCATAAGAAAAAACAAATCTGTCTTGGAAAAAGTACAGCCAGAAAGCTCCTTAGAAGCGACAATAGTGAGACTTGTCTCACATGCTTTGAATATTATATCAGAGGGTCTGGTCCTTGGAGAAGGACACCATGCTTGGTAAAGTAGAAGGTCACTGAAAAGCGAAAGACCTCCAATGAGATAGATTGACAGCAAAACTGGTCTCGAACATAACAATGATTGTCAGGATGGCGCAGGACTGGGCAACGTTTCCGTCATTGTCCATAGGGTCGCTATGAGTCAGAACCAGCTCCGTGGCACCTAACAACAACAACATGTTTGTCTCCTTTGATGTCCTCATCAGGCCGTTTGTTCATGGCTCCTGTAATGGGATTTTTAGGCAGTCAATGCCAAGAGGAGGAACTTGCCCTCAGAGATCTGAATTAGGAATAATTACCATTGCTATTGGCAGTGGAGAGAAGATGATAAAAATTCAACCTCAGAGACATAGAGGCCTCTGTTCAGCCAGGAGGATTTCTCAAACACTTGAGCAGAGAAAAAGAGCAATCCATCCAAATCCCCATCCGGGGAGTCTCGAGAGCAGCTAGGTCATGTCTGACACAAAACTGTCTTCCCAGAACAAATAACCAACTACAACTGCACAAAAAGGTGGTAGACAAAGCGAAGAATTTTAATGTGTTTACTTTTTTTATTTTTTAAATTTTTATTTTATGATCTAGCTAGCTTATGCAGAAGACTCCAACTCTCCTTTTACTGAGTGATGCTACTAGGAGGAAAGATTTTGGCCAAGTTGACGCGCTACAGCTATGATGATTGTAGAATGCAAATCATCTCTAGTGGAAGATAATTAGCAGATGATTTTGCCCAGTGCTATTAATTTACACGTGGGAAAACTCTGACCCAGGAAGCGAAGGAGCTTGATCGAGCTTTTAGCCATCTGGTAGTCTGTGTTTTCAAACTTCCCTGTGCTTAGTGAGTCTCTGAAGAACCTGGCTGCTGTTAGAGTTGCAGAGTTTCACTCACCAAAACGATCCAGCCAAAGAGTCGAGAGGAGGACTGAAATCCAACCCTAGAGTTCAGAGATGAAGAAACCGACATGTAGAGATACAAAGGAACTGAGATGCAGCCTGCTGTATCTGAGTTACCAGGAGAAGCCAGTCATGTTGCCGACTAGAATACATCATAGACATTTTAGTTGTTATGGTTGTGTTCCATAGCTTATAAAAAATGAGCATTTGGGGAACTAAATATGGTTGTGTTCTATAGTTTAGTAAAAATAAGCATTTTTGGAACCAAGTGGTGGTGGTGGTGGTGGTGGTGTGTCACGGAGTCGGTTCTGACTCATGGTGACCCTTCACAGGAGCAGAAATCAGCTCAACTCATAACCACTATGTTACAGATTTCCTCGGAACTAAGTCTATGACATACGTTTTCTTTACCTGCCAGAAACTTAGCAATTTTCTAAAAACTCCACTGTGGTCGCTCTCCTAGAGGCAAAGACACTTGTTGTGGCCATTTGGCTTGTTATTTGTGGAGCCAGGATTCAAACCCAGGTCTCTTAGGACACGTGGTATCCCACTGAATCACTCACCATTTCCCTCTTCCTGCTGATAAAGCAGCATTCAGGATCAGGACCATTTTATTTCAGAGAGTGGTAACTTTTGGGAAGCCAAAAAAGTAAAGTATCCAAACATCTTGAATATTTCTCATTTAACAACAGTTGCCTTGAAACTTTGCTGTGGAAATATCCATGTCTCCATCCGTTCTTTCATCTGTTTATTCGGACACTAGCTGTAGTGGTTAGGTTTCTGAGTCAACATCACTAGGCCAGATTTCCAGAGCTTTAGCAGTTGGGATGTGCTTATTCCCATGGTGATGAAACCTATCACAGGCATGGCAAACTCTGTGATGAGTGGCTTTGAGCAGCCAATTATTGAAGGGATAGTTCCTAGGGGGTGTGTCCTGCTCCCAATATAATAGACACATGGGAGGTACTCACTCTCTCTATTCCACTGGGGACTAGGTCTCTAGAATTGTAAGCCATCTTCTTGATAATAAATTTATCTTTATATTTATGTAGGTTTCCCTGTTGCTTCTTTAGAAAATACAGCCTAAGACACTGGCTGATTACTTCCTATGCATTAGCTATATTGCTAGACCCATGAAGTCCTAGTGTGAGGCTGTAGGATAAACATTAGACCAAAAGGTCACTGTGAGCCTCGAGGATGGGGGTTCAAACTCACCAGCCATTCCTTGGAAACCCTACACAGAGTCACTAGGAGTCAGAACTGGCTCGACAGCACTTAATAACAACAACATTGGGGTCACAGATGAATCACTTGCAATGCCTACTTTAAAGAGTTCAAAGCTAGTTACTGAAGACAATGTAGATTATATAAGTCATTTAAATCATACATCCCTGCTCATTATCTTGCAACTTAAGTCCCCCTCCCACAGAAGTTATATAGTTTTTGCATCCTTAACTTTGGACTTCACCAGTAGGATATGGAGACATAAAGTATATCATATCTAAGGCTAAGTTTTGTTTCACTTTTTAAAGTTTTTATTGTGAACTGAGTGATACTTTACATGGGAGAATATCGGTTTTACAACATCATTTCATTTGCAATGATTACAGTCTCCTTCGTGCATCATCATTCAACAACATTTGCTTCTATTACCTCTGTTTTTTGTTTTCCTTTGGGGGGGGGAATATACATAAGAACACTCAGGAATATATAATCATGTAAACAACCAAAGGGTACATTCTGCAAGCTTGCCTTCTGGTCGCCAGCACCCAGCTCCTCTCCTTCCATGAGTTCAGAGTCCTCAGCTGCTCCCTCTCTCCATGTCCTCATCTGGTGTTGCTGCTTCTCTGGATGCAGCATACTCTGTTTATGCTCTTCTCTCTTTATGTAAAATTAACTACTCCCCCATTTTTGTTTAAAAACTTCTACATTTACAGTTGTGACAGTCACAATTAGTCATGATAACAATTACTATTGAATCATAAGAATCTTATCCCCATCTCTTTTCTTAGTTTTTTACAGAAGTGGTCCTATCCAATATTTCTCCTTTTGTGACTGACAAATTTCACTCAACATAATGTCCTCAAGGTTCATCCATGTTATGCGGTGGCTTGCAGCTTCCTTGTTATTCTTCAAGGTAGCATAATATTCCATTGTGTGTATGTACCA